CAGGCGGCGGTCGACCGGTCCGGTCGACCGCATTCGTGCACAAAGCTTACTGTGCGTCAGGAAGGTGGTCGGTCGACCGGTGCGGTCGACCGAGGGGTTCTCTGGAGTTTGGGTTTTCTACTGAGAGCTGGTCGGTCGACCGGGCCGGTCGACCGGAATTGATCGCGGTCGACCGGTCCGGTCGACCGACGCTGTTTTGGGCTGGGCTTTCAGGTTTTCGACCCGATTCGTTTTGTAAGTTCTATATATACCTAAACCTGTTTGTTTAGGGTAGAGGTTGGACGAATTTGAGCAGCCAAAGAGAGAGAATCATTGCATCCAATTGTGAGAGAGCTTTGAGAGATCTAGAGCTTTGTTTTAGGGTTTGGTCTGAGAGATTTGTAACCCTATTTGTATTCTCTTGATTTCTAGTAGAAAGAACTCCCCCCTCCTTGCCCCGTGGACGTAGGCAACTTGCCGAACCACGTAAATTGTGTGTTCTTGCTGTGATTGTGGTTTGCATATTGTTTGTGGTTTAGTTCTAGTTATTGTTCGTGTTGCCCTAGAAAGCTTCCGCCGCGCACAACAATTGGTATCAGAGCTAGATCGACAACATGGGAGATGCAAGCACGTCAGGTTCGTCTCTAACAAAGGCGATACAGAGTCTGAGCATCAATAACACGAAGATTGATGTTCCGAAGTTCGATGGCAAGATCAATTTTGGATTGTGGAGGTGTCAGGTGATGGATGCTTTGGATGCACAGAATTTGGAGGAGACTCTTGAGTTAAAAGAGAAACCCGCTGAGTTGGAGGATAAGGTTTGGAGAAAGATGAACAGTAGAGCTTGTGGTGTTATTAGGTCATGCTTGACGCCGGATCTTATTTATGATGTTATGAACGAGACGTCGGCGAAGAAGATGTGGGAAACACTCAATGAGAAATATCTTACGAAGAGCATTGAGAATCGGCTTCACTTGAAGAAGAGATTTTACCAGTTCAAGATGAAGAGAGGGGTTTCCATCAGGGAGCATGTCAACAATTTCACTAAGCTACTTTCAGATATGGCCAATGTTGATATTATAGTTGAGGATGAAGACAATGCGATGCTACTTCTGTGTTCGTTGCCCGAAGATGATTATGGTACGTTCGTTCTCACTATGATCAATGGAAGAACTACAGTTAGCTACAAGGAGGTGACCTCAGCTTTGGTGAACTATGAGTTGAGGAAGAGTGATGGTGAACCCTCCGAGAAGGCATCGGGAGATGCGTTAGCAGTTCGAGGCCGAGATCCAAACCGTCGTCAGTTTAACCGCTCAAAGTCAAAGAATAGGAGTGCCTATAAGAGTGTTGGTAGAATACGGTTAGCTTTAGTATGATTATACATTTATCATTATTTTGTTCTTGATGTGCTATTGACATTAGTATGATTACACGTTTCACATTATTTTGTTCTTGATGTGCTCTGACCATGATTTATTGATGAATCTAAGCAATGTGGTTTGTACATAACTTTATTTTCTTGAATGTAGTATGATTTTAGGCATTGTTTAGGGGTTATAGATCTGATATAATCTGCTTTTGATGTTTTTGATGTGTTCTTGATTTTAGTATGATTGGGCATTTAAGCATTATTAGGCATCTTCCTCCTAGTATGTTCTCTTAGGGTGGGTTTTATTTTTTTATTATAGGAAACCACCGTGTTTGGCAAATAAAATCACATTGAAATATTTTCCGTATGTTTTAGGTTTAAAATAAAGCGAAACTTCTTTGGGTAGATTGTAGAGATCAAGTGTAGATAAATGTACATAATATGTAGCATGACAAGAGTTTTGTAGTATCTTAAGCATAGGTAGAATTGCCAAATCCTCATTCCTCAGCAATTTATGTTCCAGTTTGTTTCCTAACCATTTACTGTGTCTCATATGGTATTTGCTTCATGTCTCCAGCTTGCACTGTGGGT